CAACATGCTCCGTGGGTGCTGCACGACTGAGTCCGCTTGTTGACGGAAGTTCAGGATTGTGCTCAGTTGACTGATCTCTCTCGTGTAGAAGGGTGGCAATTTGCGACTCCAATTCCACGATTCTAAAAAAATTTGCGCAGAATACGAATCAGAACAGAAAGTTCAGTTATAATTTACAATTGCACGTCTTGTCAGACAAAAATTGACTGCAGAACGCACCGTAAGGTAGTATCCATTTTTGCTTCACCCGCCTGTCGCAGACGGTTGGTTCTATCGTCCAATTGCCCATTAAGAGCAGTCAGCTGAGAGAGTAGTGCATCCTTCTCGATGACAATTCGATCAATGTAAGTTTGCGAATTCGTCAGTTCTTCGTATAATTTTGCTTTTTCGGATCGATTCTAGGAAAATTGTATTAGATAGGGAAAAAAGACAACAAAAAGTCAATATAGCGATAGTTACCTGCTCAAGAGCTGCTTCAAGATGACGGACTTCTTCATTTGCTCGAGCCAAACTTTCTATTTCTTGAACGGCCAATTCGAATCGCTCACGGTAGGATTCCATCTAAAGACTGTATGTGTAATTTCAGGTTTATTGAACAAAAAACCTTGGTTTTGACAAATACTATATTAGTAAAAGTAAAAAGCATTTTATAAGCAGTTCTTTTGAAAACTTGTACTGAATATTTTCCTAGCAGAACCTATCAGATGTTCCCGTCTTTGTGAATAAACTATGTCTATCAATTCCTATACCTTTCTTATGGCTTCATCGCACTGAAGACGTGCTTGCTGAGCTGAATCAGTTAGGGTGCGCACATGTTGTTCACTAGCTTCCAAATCTCCTAGCACCTATAAACATTAAACACTGATATGACGTCTATATCACATTTTCCGGGAAAAAAATGCCTCTGAAATGTCTTTGCATTCTTCTACAAAGACTATCACAACATCTCACTTGTTCCATCTTCTCATCGTGTTCTCCTTTCAATTGTGCAATACTTCTTTCT